AAGATAGTCTATTTTATCCAGTAATCTACCTGACCTTCCCACCACCTGGATCTCTGTTCTTCTGTGTTTACCTTTTTTCACATTGTAATTGTTTTGATTCATAGGCTCAACTCCCAGATCCTCTGTTCTTATAATTTTATTCTGTTCTTGACTCTTTTCATTTGTCGACTGAGGTTCAGGTTAATGCTCCCATGTACATCATTCTGTAGTTGTTATGTGTCCTTGCTGGTTCTTCTAGGTTCCCTCTTGAAAGTTTGTAAGCCAGTCACTTATTGCCTTTGTAGCCCACCCACCCCACCCCCATTTTGTTGTGTAGCCAATGTCTGAGTTGCCCATCCCTATCTACTCTGTATATGGAGGGGTGGGAATGATCCTTGCTGTAAGGATTTGTTCCCTCGTTTGAGCTACTACATCTATAGGTATAGGTCAGGTTCATCAAATTATATCAGATTACTTTTTTTTTTTCCTCTTCTTTCTTCTGGTTGAGCTCTGATCATCCAGTCATTGAAGCCAGGTCAAGTGGGGATTATCCGCAAGTGTGGGTGTCTTGTGCATAATGCCCTCTCTTCTTATCAGCTGGACGCTTCACTCTCCACTCCAGTCCTCTGTGGCTATGTCACTGACTCTGGGCCCGAGTCCCAAGGTCTTGCCATACTGCTGGCCAACCAGGTCTCCACCTGGGCTCACTGCAGGAGTCTGTTGAACGTTGTTAGGGCTTAGCTCACAGCTTCATTGCTGTTTGTCCCTCACTTCCCCTTTTCGGTGATGAGCATGATCACCCATCAGAGCATGTATTCCCATTGAGTCTTAGTCTTGCAAGGGGGTGTACACTGAGGGGACCCAACCACTTGCCTTGATGTCTCCTGGGCAAACATAGCAATGTTTTAAAGTAGTGAAATTTAGTAAGTTAGATACATTGCAGTTGAGTTTGTTTTTTGGTAACATAATAAATGTCAATTATGTCTGTGCCAGAAAGTATAGGATTTCAGTCACAACATAACTTCTGAATATGTCGTGATACTTAGGAACAGAAAACACTGGATCCTATGTTTTCCCCTTTGCTTATTAAGTGTGGTCAAGTCAGTCCCGACTCATGGCAACCCTGTATGGGGTTTCTGAGCAATAGCTGGTAAGTTTGAACAGCTGACCTTGAGGTTCAAACTAATCTTTTTGGTACAGTCCTTACAATACAATGCCACACCAGGCCTCTTCCTGCTTTGCTTACTTACACACATATATGAATCTGGTATAGGGAACCATGGTAAGCACTCCTGTATGGAAAGGAGATAATTAAGAAGTACACAGCAGTCATTGTAGCCTAAGAAATCTCGGATTTTGTTGAAATGTTTGCTGAATGGGCCCCAGTTGAAGAACCTTGGTTTCACCGTGGTTCAAGCTCCAGCTGTTAACCAAAAATTAGGTGAATGGTTTCAATCCGTCAGCAATTGCGCAGGAGATAGATGTGGCTTCTGTAAAGACAGCCTTGGAAAATTCCTAAATAGCTGCTATATTCTGTCCTGTAGGTTGATACATGGAAGTCAGAAGTGACCTGATGATTGGCCTTGGACTTAGTTTCTGTAAATGTACTCAGTTGGTTTGTGAAGAGCCAGGAAAAAGTGCTTTATATATTTCATGATCAAATAATTATAGTAATGGAAATTTTGAAGAAATTTAAATCATTTTACTTGCATGTTTTTTCCCTTTAATTAAAAGTAAATGATGGTATACCAAAATGTTTGGCTCGGATTATGTGCCATAAACACCTTGTATAGGGTTTCCAAGCCTGTAAATCTTTTTGGAAAACGAAAAACCTTATCTTTCTCTCCCACAAAGTGAATGGTAAATTTAGAACCACTGACCTTGTGATTAGAGAGCAGCTCAGCTAGGACCCTCCCAAGGGGACCTAGACATCAAAGTCACATTAGAAAATGATAAACATAAACATTGCCATGGAATCGATTCTGACCCATAGCAACCCTGTATAAGGTTTCTAAGGAGTAGCTGGTGACCTTGAACCACCAACCTTGTAGTTCAAATGACTTTGCAGTCAGATGCATTAGCCCACAGGGCCACACCACGACTCTTACACATTATAGGTATAAGAAATGTTTCTAAAGAAAACAATTTGTTGTTTTTCTTGTCCAACCTAATCACGTGTGTGTTTAAAGAAGCAGTTGTTTGGTTAAGTTGGTTAAGTCAGTAGATTTGGAATTGAGTTTATTTTTTGAGCCATAATTTTCTCATTTGTCAAACAGAAGAGGTTGGCCTAGATGATTTGAAGATTCTTCCAGTTCTAAAATTGCATTCATATAATTGTGTCATTTGTGAAAACCTCAGTGAAATTACTTGAATAGTAAGAAGGTTTAGCTTTTTAACAGTTTTGGCTGATACTCAAGTTGTGGTATGTTTTAGATGTGCAACATGCAACAAAAAAGTACTTATGTGGTCAGCATTGTCATCATTGGATTCTCGTTTTAGAATCTATTATTATGGAACAAATAACTCAGAATTGTTTAACTGTCACATTAGTATCATTGGATAGTGAAGTTTTGTCTGTCTTTAGTGATGTCTGTGGTGTAGGCAGTAGCGATGGTCCCATTGAGTCCAGTATTGTTTGATACCTAAGAGCACCACTTGATACATAAGTTTTAGCATCTTACAGTCCACAAATGGCTATTAGAGTCTTAAATGTGATATTTTATTACAGTTTTATAATTTTATGTTTTTCTAGGGTGTTTACTTTTTAAACATAAATACAATTTTACCTCACTAAATAAAAGCTTCTTATTAAATATGTCAGAGGTCTTTGCCATTTTATATACAGCTATAGTATCCCTGAAGTCAACTAAAAGTACCTTGCAACCTCAGGGTCAGCAGGTCAAAATTACCAGCTGTTCTGCGGGAAGAAAGATGAGGCTTTCTGGTCCTGTAAAGACTTAAAGCCTTGGAAACCCTGTACAGGATTGCTGTTGGGCCAGAATCGACTCAACAGCACTTATCAACAAACAACATTGCTATCCAAAATACTCAGGTTGACTGAAATGGCAAGTATTAACGATACATAAAAGTTCATTTTTACTGTTGAACTCTCTCTAAAATAGGGTAACTGAAGAAGATAAAACTAAGAAGAAAGGCCAAGAGGAAAAACAACCTAAAAAACAACTGAAAAAGGATGAAGAAGGCCAAAAGGAAGAAGATAAACCAAGAAAAGAGCCTGACAAAAAAGAGGGGAAGAAAGAAGTGGAATCAAAAAGGAAAATTTTACCTAAAGCAGGGGTTGCATCAACCTCTGATTCTGAAGAAGAAGGGGATGATCAAGAAGGTGAAAAGGTTAGAAACTAGTCTGTTCTCTTAGTCTTTTATCTAGGAAACTTTCAGTATCTCTGTGAAAGTTGGTCAGTATCAGAATCCATGACCTTCACAAGTAGACTTGTTGTTAAGTGCCGTCGAGTCCGTTCCGGCCCATAGCGACCCTGTACAGGGTTTCCGAGGGTGTAAATCCTTATGGGAGTAGAAAGCCTCATCTTTCTCCCGCGGAGCTGCTGGTAGTTTCGAACCGCTGACCTTAAGGTTCACAGCCCGATTCGTAACCACTACGCTACCAGAGTAGACTGACAGGGTTTTATTCCAAGGTCTCTTTAGATGGGTTTGACCCACCAACCTTTGGGTTAGTATTCAAGCTCTTAATATTTGTACCACCCAGGAACTCCAGATATAATTTAAAATTCATCTTCTTGTTGTTGCTAAGTGCTGTCGAGTCGGTTCTGACGCATAGCGACCCTGTACAGGGTTTCCGAGGGTGTAAATCCTTACGGGAGTAGAAAGCCTCATCTCTCTCCCGCAGAGCGGCTGGTAGTTTCGAACCGCTGACCTTAAGGTTTGCAGCCTGATTCGTAACCACTATGCTACCAGAGCTCCTTAAAGTTCATCTTAGTTTCTTTAAATTAGTTAAAAGCACAGTTGAAACTCAGTATCATTATTTTCTAAATTTGTATATTTTTGAATTGTGCTATAGTGAATATAATCTTACCAATCTAAAAAAATCAGGAAAGTAGACAGTTTGTCAAAAAGGTTCACACAGAGAAATTATACAGCATTTTTACTCCAAAAATGAGTAGTGTTGTATGAAACCACACTGCAACTCCATTAATGAGTCATTTGTGCACTGTTAACATGTATGGGCACATTATATATGTGAAACATGGACTATATAGACTAATGTAATTTAACCCCAAGAAATGATCATTCTTTAGGCATTCTTCCTGTATTTTTTTACCATTGATTCTGTTTCTGGTGTTATAGTTGAAGTACTTTTCTTTCCTAAGTATTATTTTGTTAATTTCTACCCTAATATTTTAATAAGGGAAGAATTTTCAGTTGGGTTGGTTGCGCGGTGTTTGTAGTTGATGCACACAGACTTAAATTAGAATGATAGTGTAGATGATTTCAGTGAATCATGGGAGATAAAGACTTCTACAACAGGGCAAAGAGAGCTGTTGGGAATTCAAGGGTATTCTCAGTCATCATTTAACTATTTCTTTAAAAAATTCTTCTTGGTTTTACCTACTAAGACTGAAATTCTGTCAGTGCTAATGACTGACTTATGTCCATCCTAACTCTCAAACAGAAGAGAAAAGGCGGGAGAAACTTTCAGGCTGCCCATAGACGGAACATGCTAAAAGGGCAGTATGAGAAGGAGGCAGCCGAGAGAAAACGCAAGCAAGAGGAGCAGATGGAAACTGAGCAGTAAGTATCTGTATATTTTTTTAGCCTTTTAAAGGTAGCATGAAAAACTTCAACAGTAGACTCTCATTTTCTTAGATCTTTATGTATAAATCCTTTCAGATAGAAGTGACTTCCCCATATGTTAGAAAACCTGTCATGTCATTGATAGCATTCATGGTTTTCTCCTGAGAGGATGAAATGACTGAGATAAGCTCCCAGTGAGTTATTTTTATAAGTGAAAGAAAGAGCAAATAGAATAATTCACTTGTTAGTGGCTTGTGAAAACCTTAACTCATTCTTTATTATATACTTGTATACTATATACAGAAAGAATGCAGGAAGTACTGTACCACACATAGACCTTCCCTAAACGCCAGCAAAAAATAGATAACAAGGCACAGGTGGAAAGCCAGTAAAAGTAAATCTAAAGGCTGAGGGGGGTTTCCATTAGATGAGTGCTATATAAACCAAGGTCAGAGTTTCTCTTACGTTTTGATACTTGCACAATAGAATATACTTATATTACTATGGGGAATTTTTTTCCTGTTTCATTTTTAATATAAAATGCTATTATTAGAGGAAGGAACATAAGCCCGGTGGTAATGATTAGCGGTCATGTCTACTTTCATAGTCGATCTTTAACCTGTCAATTCTGAGCTCTTTTCTCTGAGATTTTCTTTGTGAATTCTAAACCTTCTGATTAATCTTAGAGCTTAGTAAGGAGGTAGTTTTTCAAATATGCTCTAGGTCAGCCATTAAGGAAAAATTAATGTTGGGCAAAACAATTCTGTAAGTTATTCTGTATTTTCTTTATAAATTACATTTCTAAGCCTAAAGTTTGCTCTTGTTTGGAGGATATGTAGGCAGGCAGTTTAATTTACTTGAGGGAGTAATGAAAAAATCCCAGTCAGAAATGCTATTCCCTCTATAATCTATTAGACATTAACCACTTAAGTAAAGATTTAAGTTAAATTTTTCGTTACCTTATACTTTCCTGTCCTTTCACTGCAATGTTGTTGGACTGTTGGCTTTAAACTTTATTGTGCCCACAAAGAAAACATAATAAAATTAGATGTTGCTTCGTAATTGTAGCCCAACCTCAGTATCTCAGTTATCTTTTTGTGTTTCAATTTTCTTTTTTAATGTCCTCCGAATGTAACTTTCTCAAATTCTAATATTTGTGTTTTCTTTCCTTCTCCTGTTATTACAAAACTTTGTACTTGGACAGTTTTGCTCTGTAAAGCATTTCAGATGCAGCTTGTATGAAATGCATTATGCAAAATAAAGTTTATTGTATTGTATTCCCAGCCAAACAACATGTAATCTACAGTAATAAAAAATATATCTCATTTTGGGCTCAAAGCATTAATCCAGTTACTGAAAAGAGAATACAAGTGGAGCAAACAAGAGATGAAGATCTTGAGACAGACTCATTGGACTGAATTTTCCCTTCCCCCCCCTGATGGAAGAATGTTCCAGACTCTAAATTGAGGACTTCATTATTAATGGCATTATTACTATGTTATGATTGTTTTTAAAATTCCTGTAAGGTACACACTACATATTAAGGTTGGCCATCATTCCTGTTACAGTTTTTCACCAGGCTTAAAAATGAAGCTTTTGTGTATTTGAGAGTTATGATAAGCTCAGATGAAGATGGTGGTTGTGCATTTCATTTCATTTAGAAAATATAAAAATTCATTTTGTTTCGAAGCAAGGTATTTACTGGAATAGCTATTATTATACTCCTGAGATTAGGGCATTGTGCCCTTACCTTGACATTCCTTTGTTGTTTAATTCATTAGACTGTTTTTTTTTTTTTTTTTTTAAATCCTGAGAAGATTAAACAATAGACTTGTTAAGAAAAAGAAAAAAATAATGAAACTGTAACCAAAATTTTAAAATAAAGTTTTTTTTTAAAAAAAAAAGAAGTGATTTTTAGACATTTTTTTTGTTCTTGTCTATTTCAATTGGTTCATTAATATGGCCTGAATCCAAACCAACATTCTAGAAATCAAAATTTTTAGGAGGTTATTTTTTTGTGATTTACAGAAAATTGGTACCTTTTTGTGAAACAGTATGTAAATGTTGATATACATTAAGTTGATATAATTGGCAAAATATTTTAATGATACGATTATCTTAAAAGTGTATTTAACTTCAAAAGTAGTATGAAACCCTCTTATACTCTTTGGAGATATGCAAGACAATACATAGTTTTTACATAATTGCTGTGTAGAATCTATGAAATAATCACTCTCTCCATGTCACTGTGCGTGTGTCCATTCGCAACCCTGGTATTTTCAAACAACACACTACTCAATCATGAAAATAAAATACCCATGAGTGCTTTAAAATGACTTTGTGATGTCATTGAAATTGATAAATTTAAATTTGCTTATAATTTCATTAATGCTAAGTAATACACAGTATTCAGAATTAGGCAGTTCCTTCTGTTCTAGATTGAACTTAAATACATCAACATTTAACTTTAACATAAGGGATCATTGGCATTTGGTAAAAGTCACAGCAGTTGCAGTGTTTTGAAATATTTGTGTTAACATTTGATAGGCAGAATAAAGATGAAGGGAAGAAACCAGACGTTAAGAAAGTGGAGAAGAAGCGAGGTTAGTTGTTTTACTTTGTCACCTGTATAAATGTATTATGTTAAAGTGACACTGTTTTTGTGTTGATTTTGATATTAGTCTTTTTTTTTTTTTTAATGTTTTATTGTGAATTATATGATAGTTTACATGGGAGAACATTAGTTTTAGATTAGTCTTTTTTTTTTTTTTTTTTACCTTATAACCTACATTGTTTTTCAAAGCTCTAATGAAATCCTTGTAAATCTATTTGTATTTTAAGCATAATCATGTAAATGTCTAAGTAGCCAACTCAAATTGTTTCAATATCAAAAAACCTGGGCCCTTTTTTGTTTTGAATAAATCTGATTTTATTTATATCTGATTTTATATATCGTTTTTATTTTTGTTTAAACTTATTTAAGGGATGTGATGGACTATTGTATAGAAACTGCTTATTTTTAAAATGTGGAATGAACAGGTGGTGATTTTATACTTGGTTGATTGGTTGATGTTATGTGCCTGGGAGTCCTTTGCAACTCATAGAGACCTTGTAGGGTTTCTGAGACTATAAATCCACGGGAGCAGAAAACCTCATTCTCCTGCAGAACAGCTGGTAGTTTCAAACTATTTATCTGTAGGGTAAGTACTTGACCCCACTGTCAGTTTGAACCCCATTGTCAGCGGTTCAAACTTACTTGTTGCTTCTCAGAAACCCAATGCCGGGTTGCTGTAATGCATGTTGGAGTCATGGTGTGGTGCTATAGGATAAGCACTGGATTGTAAGGTTAGTAGTTTCAAACTTACCAGCCACTCCTCGAAAACCCTATACAGGGTCTCTATGAGTCAGAAGAAGGCACTTAACAATGATGCATTAAGTTTTACGAATGGATGCTAGTGTAGCCACATTTCTTAGTCATGTGTAAGCTATTGTGTTTTTCTTTGTAAATTTTATTAAGCACATATTTTCTTAAATAGACCAGTTTTTTTCACCATAGTTTTGCTTTGGTTTAAAAAGAATTCTATTTTATACAGAAACACTTGAATTGGAAAAGTATTTATTGTCTTCCATGTATTTTAATTTATAGAAACATCAATGGATTCTCGACTTCAAAGGATACATGCTGAAATAAAAAACTCACTCAAAATTGATAATCTTGTAAGTGTTTGCTCATTTAAAAATATAAGGATGCTTCTATAGCTGACTGGGTTGACCCCCACTCACGGTTTTATTATACGTATGTGTAACGTCAAATGTGTGTGTGTGTGTGTGTGTGTGTGTCGGAGTGTTATTGGTCCGTTTATACAGTCTTATAGTTGAAACTTTGAAAATATCCTTCAAGAACAGATAATGCCATGATAATTAATAGTTATGAAATTGTTTTGTCATGAAGGATGTGAACAGATGTATTGAGGCCCTGGATGAACTTGCTTCACTTCAGGTCACAATGCAACAAGCTCAGAAACACACAGAGATGATTACAACACTGAAAAAAGTAAGTGACCCCAATTCATGTAGATTACAGAGCTTCCTTTTGATTCATGAAAAGGGAGGACATTTATGTAAAAATCATTTGGAAATGGATAGTGATGATGTTTGTACATCATGATGAAAGTAATTAATAGTGCACATGTAGAAATGACAAAAAAATGAAAGTACCGTGTTTAGGAAGGTTAGCCAATGCTTTTAAAAATGAGCGTTATAATAAAAGAATTTATTACATTATTTCCTCAGGAGGAGTAACAGCTTCACCTTTTGTCAGATTAGCATGCTATTATTGCAATGGGCTTATTTCACTGGCATAGTTCATATTCACCAAATACTTATGCTGTTACAGACTCCACATTGGGATTTGTGAGTCTAACATTCATAAAGGGAAGGTGGAATATGGTGTCAGAGAAAAAATCCAATGAATCCTGCTTAACTGGAACACTGCTGCTTCCAATCAAAACATTAAGCAGCGAAATGATGATTTTTTTTGTTTTCTCAGATACGGCGATTCAAAGTTAGTCAGGTTATCATGGAAAAGTCTACAATGTTGTATAACAAGTTTAAGAACATGTTTTTGGTTGGTGAAGGCGACTCTGTGATCACACAAGTGCTGAATAAGTCTCTTGCTGAACAAAGGCAGCATGAGGAAGCGAATAAAACCAAAGATCAAGGAAAGAAAGGGCCAAACAAAAAGCTAGAAAAGGAACAAACAGGTAAGTGGTTATAAATTTGAGAACTGGTTTCTGATTGTTTCCTGGTAGTGTTTAGATGAGTAAAAAATCTCATTCTTTTCACTAAGTTTAAGTTACTTGTCAATATTACTGGCAGTCAGCATGAGTAACATTTTATCATGATCATTATTTTATATCCCATTTACTTCCCCTATGCCACAATGCAACATGATTTTGAAGTAAATTCCTTGATAAACCAATGTATTCACCTATCATTAAGTATATAAAAAAATAAACCCATTCCCATCCAGATACTTTACAGTTTGTGGCAAGCTCATGTGTTTGAACTTTGTGGGGTTTCCTTGACTGTTAAAACTTTCAGAGGTAGCTCACTACATCTTGCTCCCATGTACTACTAGACCCTCCACACTTTACATTGTTGTTAGTTGCTGTCCACTCTGTTCCTGCCCCTAGAGAGGAATGGCTGATGGGTTTGAAGTAGTCAAGCACAAACCATTTGTGACACCCAGGGAGCTAACACACTTATCATGTTTAAATGACCAAATTTAAATATCTTAAAAGATTTTTGGTTGAAACAAAGTGTTTCATTCATTAATGGAATGTTTGTTGAATCATTGACTGTGTTTGATGGCATCTGTACCTCCTGGTCACTGAGACACAAAATACTTTACGGATTCTTGTGAATGCTATTGGCATGCCTACCGCCCTCACAGACTGCACCACAAAAAAAAAAATAGCAATTTTCAGCACATACCTGTTTGTCTGTTTCCTCTCAGTGTAAAGTGACATCAAGATGGTCTGACTCATAGTGAACCCTGTATATGGTTTTCTAGAAATAACTAGTCAGTTTGAATCACTTATCTTGGGGTTCTAACCAACCTTGTGGCCTAGTACTTATCCTACAGTGCCACACGAGGACTCATCAGATGTTAGCTTCTCAGTAATCTTGAGAGGTCACAAAAGAAAAAGTGGGACATGTATGTTCTAAAGATTTTGCAAAGATTAAAATGCACTCACCGTAAACACATCAGTCCTCACCCCAATTCATGTTATGAAACATTTTGTTGTTTTAACTGCAGTGAAGTGGGTTCCAACCCATGTATACGGTTTGAGTAGCGGCTGATGTGCTTGAACCGCTGACATTGTAGTCCATTGTATTAAGCCACAGCGCCACACCAGAAGTCCTCCATGAAATATTTTAACAGCTGCTAAATAAACCTATGAACTCACATTCAAAAGCAATTTGAATTTTTTATCTGATGCTATAGGGTAAGCACTCAACCTTGAGGTCAACAGTACAAACTCACAAGTTGCTCCTCAGAAATCCTACACAGGGCCACTGTGGGTCGGAACTGCCTGGGATAGCACTTACACAAGGATCAGTTAATGAAATAAGCCTTGTAAGAAAAGCCCCATTAGAAGAAAGCCTCTTAACCCCCTTTGTTCATAGGATTGTGGCCAATTAGATAATAAGGACTTCTACCTTTGTTACAAGGAGCTCTGGGAGCACAGTGGTTATGAATCAGGCTGTGAAACAGAAGGTCAGCAGTTCAAAAACTACCTGCTGTTGCGTGGAAGATAGGCTTTCTGCTCCCGTAAATATGTACCACCTGGCAAACCCTGTACAGGGTCGCTATGAGTCGGAACCGACTGCATTGCACATTACACCACCTTGTTATGGAGTCCTGCTGTGGCACTGTGGGTTCATGCGCCAGACCTCAAAGCCATGTGAACTACACAGGGTCGCTATAGGTTGGAACCGACTCGATGGCCCTAACAACCTTTGTTATAAAATACTAGTAATAAATTTGAAATCTTACTATATAATTAATGTCTTTAAAAAAATGAGACATGAAATCGTAACGTACTGACAAGTTACCAATTAATACTCTACATGGAGATCTACATTGTATACTAATTGTTGCTTTTCACCTTAGCTACCCAAAGGATTTTGAGTAGGTATGGAGCTAACAATGTGTCTTTAATGAAATGTAATTATTCCTATTTTTAAAATAGCATCAAAACATCTTAAATCATGAGGACTGGAAATACAAAGCAACCTCAAATATGTAAAAAATTAAGTATTTGAAATGTAAGGCTTTTTTTTTTTTTTGATCTATATAGGACATCTTTAGATATTGTTTTAGAAGCTCTAACAGTGTTTTTATTATAATTCTTTGAAAGGTTCAAAGACTGTAAATGGAGGATCTGATGTTCAAGATAGTAGTCAGCCACAACATAATGGAAATAGTGAAGAAAGCAAAGACAACCATGAGACCAGCCTTAAGAAAAAGTAAATACATATTTTCATTGCTTTTGCAGTACTGTTCTAAGAGTGTGTTTAATAACTCTTCCTGAATTTGGGAAGTATATTGCAAACCAAGAGTCAGAAAGTGAAAATTATTTATAACATTTTCCCACTGTACTAATAAAAGAAATGAGGGAACCCCATTTAAAAAATAACTTTTCCCTGGGAATTCTTATACTAACACACCTTCATATGTGTTCGTTTTAAGCGTTGTTGGAATTATGATGTTGTCAAGTGCTGTTGAGTCGGTTCAGACCCATAGCGAACCCTGTACAGGGTTTCTGAGGCTGTAAATCTTTATGGGAGCAGAACGCTTCATCTTTCTCTCGCAGAGCGGCTGGTAGTTTTGAACTGCTGGCCTTAAGGTTTGCAGCCCGATTTGTAACCACTAAGGAGCTCTGGTAGCGTAGTGGTTACGAATCGGGCTGCGAACCTTAAGGTCAGCGGTTCGAAACTACCAGCTGCTCCGCGGGAGAAAGATGAGGCTTTCTACTCCCGTAAGGATTTACACCCTCGGAAACCCTGTACAGGGTCGCTATGGGTTGGAACCGACTCGACGGCACTTAACAACAACAACAACGCTACCAGAACTCCTTCAAGAATTATGATAGGATAACAAATTAAAATACAGACCTAGAAAGGAGAGTTTATTTCTTATTGTACTATAAGAAGCTCTGGTAGCATAGTGGTTACGAATTGAGCTGTGAACCGCAAGGTCAGCTGTTTAAAACTACCAGGTGGTCTTCGGGAGAAAGATGAGGCTTTCTGTTCCCATAAAGATTTACCGTCTCGGAAACCCTGTTCAGGATTGCTATGGGTCAGAACCGACTCAACGGCACTTAACACCACCTACCTTATAAATGCCTAGTCTTAGAACTGTAGCTTACTATGTCTCTCAGCTTGCTAATATGCTTCTACTGTATTCCTGTAATTTAAGGAAATGTCAGTATTATTTATAGGTAATATTTTCATGTTGAGTATTCACTTGGAAGCTAAAACTGATAAAAAGGGCCTGGTGGTCCAATTTGATGATATCTTTTATTTTTCTCATTGATTGTATTACGTTGGAAAGATATATGATAAATTAAAAATTTAAACAATATAAATGATGATATGGTACTGACAACTCACGATTTCTATTGATTTTAAAAAGGTAATGTGCTCCATTTTTACTGACTTCATTTTGTGGATAAAATAAATTCTAATCTTAGTTGTTACGTCTTTATTTCCCACTTTAGGTCATCTAGTGAAGAGAGGGAAACAGAAATCTCTATGAAGGATTCTACATTAGATAACTAGGCTGACACACCCAGAGGAAAGGACACTTGAGAAGCTTGTAATGGTTTTCGCTTGAGATATTTAGACTGCTGAAAAGGAAAGTTTAAAATTTTTATAAGCATAGGTTTTCATGTTAAAAACTTGCTTTCAGGGGGAGATCCCTTTGTTGAAAATTGAACATTATTGCTAATTGTACTTGTGCAGTATTAACAGCTACAATATACAAATGTGGAGGAAAATCCATTTAGAAAATGTTAAGCTGCTTTTCCAGACATTATGGTTGTAGCATATTTTCAATTAGTGTGTGTAAGTTAATGTGTAATTGATAGAGAAAAAGTTACATTTTTAAACCTCCTACTTGTATAATACCTTTCCTCTTTTCCCTAATACTGTGGGTTTTGTGCATAGTTTTTACACATGTTGAATTTACCAGACTGTCTTATTCACTGTTGTGGGTTTTTGTAGAAGTTGAGCATTTTTATGGTAGTTGAAATGTTACTTCTATACAAGTACTCACTCCCTTGTTTTATTGAATCTCAGTCTATATTGTGCTATATTATCCTGCTGCTTTGTAACACAGTGTGGTCTGTTCGCCTTTTTGTATGACAATTAGCTATCCAACTGAAGTGAAACTGACAATTTTTGCAAGGTACAAAACTCAAGTTAATTTTTAAAGATAAGTTTTGTGGCTGGAAATTCAGTGAAATCACACAATTTTTCTTGCAGGCTGGTTATATATTTAAATAAATCTGGCACGAGAGTAGCAACCTTGGAATCAACCATTTACGATTCTTTGTATCTGTACTAGGAGCGAAAATTCAAAACTAAATGAGGAAAGTTTATTTTTGAGAAAGGGGTCACATTCATTAAGGAAGTCACTTAAAATAGTATTTTTTTTAAATTGGAAAAAAATCAGTGCATAATGCTTATGCTAAATTTAAGTAAATATTATATAATGAAAATAACCTATTTGAAAACAATGCTATATTAGAAGGGATTTAAAATGTTTGATTTCTGTATCATATGACAATTGCACATAGGTGACTTTGTACCTAGTTGATTCATACATGGCTTAAGTCAGGGTGAACCAATGTTAACTGTATTAAATAACTAAAGGATAGCATTCTATTTTGAATATTAGGTTACATGGTGGTTTTCAATAGCTGAAGACACTAATCGTAATTTGATAGGAATGTGGGAAAATGGGTTAAGAGTTACAATTTTAGGTCTGTGGTTTATAAGTTGCCAAAAAAGTGGGTGATAAGCATCGTATATTTTTAGCCTCATGGATAATTGTTTTCATCTATAGATGAATAGTTTGAATCTTCAATTTCAATAATTGGGTGTTTGCTTTTGAAGTGTCTTTACAATGGAATCTAGGACCCATTGTTTCGATGGAACTCTGCTATATTAACCAGTCATTTCATCTGTTTGGATTTGGACAGATCTGTTCTAGTTAAGCCATAAGTGTCAACGTGGAAAATGTTTTGATTAAAGAATTTTTCTATCAAACTCTATTAATTTTGTTTTGTTTTTGCTCTTTATATGAGCAAGAGGTGGAATTCTGCATTCACTACCAAGGAGAAATAAGTTGATTCCAACTCATAACAATCTTGTATCGGGATTTCCAGGAGTGGCTGGTTGAGTTTGAACCGTTTGCAGTTCAAACCAATAGTTCCAGTGCTGATCCTACAGTGCCATAGCAGGACTCCATCATGAAGGAAAGAAAAGGCTTCCAAAAGTTTGAGGACAATTTCCATTATCTTATAATTACAGTTTCCCACAAACTTTTGAAGCTCCTTCATAATTTAACTGGTCAGAATTTTTTTGGTTTGGGGAGACACAGTAATTAAAAAAACTCAAAATGAATAAAGGAAATAAATTCTCTTGTCCCCCTTTTTTTCCCTGTGACTCAATTAATCTGTATTATACCAGGAAGCCCTGAATATTCCACTTCAGGTAAGTGAGGATTTTACTTGTAATTTATGTCTGCCTGCATGGCTTGACTTTACTCTAGCCAGTTGACTGCTCAAAATGCTTAAGATCATGTGAATGTAAAATAAAGTTTTAGGAGTATTAGCTATATTAAGTGGTATATTTGATCAAAACCCTACAACTTTCCTGTTTAAGGAGAGCATAACAAAGTTAGTTACTTGTTTGACCACCAGATAACATTATTTAAGAGTTAAGTTTCACATGACCCAGCAGAATCAATTTTTCCTCATTAAACTTTGTATGTATAACAGAATGGAATGGTAGATTTTACCTTATTCTTGCTGGCAAAATGGAAGTGTGCTGTAGTTCTATACCCGGACTTACATCCACATATACTAACTTACCTGTGTAAAGGTGTCAGGTTAAGTCTGCCATCTAGTCTAGGATGAAAACAAGGGGTTTTAGAGGACTATAAGATCCAGGGCAGGAAAGGATGATGTATTGGAAACAGTAAACCAATATTAAAAAAATAACTATTAGGCTGAAATGGGTTTGTATTTATGATGTGTAAATCTCCAACTGTAGAGATAAGTGATCTCCTAGTTAATATCTGAATTTCCATAAAAGATTAACAATCTATTTTTAACTACTAGGATTTTACTTGAAAAAGCTCATGGTTACATTTTTGTTTTGCTTATTTTAAGTTAGATAAATTATTGTCACATTGTGTTTTATCCATTGAAATAAGCAAAGCTATCTCTCCAGAAAAGATATTTCTGATTCATGGAATTTATGGCTGTAAGTTACACAAAACATGCAATTTTAAAGAATTCTTCTTTGTAGGCAGTCCATATAACTGATACACTGGCAACTTGTGGGTGTCCTTAGTTGCATGTTCTCTCAGATTCATCAGGAAACTTTTAACTGGTGAAAATGTTAGTTGAAGAATTAGCAGGATAATCTCACTAAACGATAAAATGTTCATCGCATTTTGTTTGATTTGTTCAAGAAGATGAACTAAGTTACCACCCCCCCACCCCAAAAAAACCTACCACATGAATGCTGTGATGAGTCACTAATTCACCTTATAACTGTTGTTTTTGAGATTATGAAGTAATAATAAATGAAAGCAAACTGTTTGCAGATTAATAAATGAGTGGCAAAATCTATTTTTGTTGCATTATCTTACATCTATAGTTTTCCAACAGAAATTTTGAATCTGTTCAGTGTTAGCTTAGCACCTTTGGTTATGTAACAAATTGGGACTAACATAAGCTTTCCTTGATTGGATCTGTGAATGAGACATACCAGAAACAGGTTTTTGTCATTTCCATATAAAATCAACATATTTCCCTGTCAATCTTGTTACCACGGAAGTGTATAGGCCTCACCAGTTTGTTTATATAAGTCTGTTTAGTCATCCAGGAAATGTGAAATTCAGTTGAATTTGAACATAACCTAGAAAAGAGAAAGTGAAACATAAATATGATAAAGTATTAATTCATTAGTAAAATTTCCAACCCCAAATGCTAAATGTTTCCAGAAGATATTTCAAGTACAGATAGGCACGATTTTCTCTTGACAATTGTGATCTCAGAATTTTCTGAAAGAACTGGGAGTTAAGGCCTGAGAGGAGGATGCAAGCGTTAAGTTAGTTGATCCATATGTCTTAGTTATTATACTACATGAATTAGATTGTTTATTCTTTCTTATAAAATAGTAAATTGCCATATTTAAAATCATTGTGATACACCAAAGTTCTTACCCAGAAATGAAACTTCAATTAATGTTAACTTCTCTGAAAATGTTTGATTTCTAAAGATTGATTTACATTACATTATTTGCTTAAGAGGGAACTCGAAAGAGTTCTTGGAAAAACATCTATCTTTTCATTCCATTTGTATATACAATGAAGCCCCCTTAAGATAATGTTTATTATTTAAAAAACCCCACTTTAAGATTAAAGATCCCACTATAAGATTATATAACTAAATCTTTTATATTAAATAATTTCCTTTTTGCATAACCTCTCCCTAATTTTATTATGTAATAAAAATTGAATGATAGACAATGTACCTTGAAAACCTCACGGTGTAGTATATAAGGTGTAGATCTCCTTCACAGAATTTCAAAGCATGTCTACCATTTGGTGCCTCTTACTAGCAAAAAGCAATCTGGATACAATTACAATCAATAAACAAGCAAAATGAGAGAAAAAAAAGAATCAAAACAATGTATGTTTAAGAATATATACAGCACTACTGACTTGTTAATTACAGTTGGTGTGGTGCTGAGGGTTTGAACTTTTAAGGTCGCCTTGAAGCGCAAGGTCAATGGTTAAAGCTCACCAGCTGCTCCTTGGGAAACCCTTTACAGGGTCACTATGAGTTTGAACTGACTCCACCACACTGACCAATTTGTTAATTATATGTAACCCACTTAAAAATGAACAAAACCCACTAAATTAGAAATATACTTTAATAATAAATACTCCATCATGCTTCTAAGCATGAAATACAATCCAAATTCATTTAAAAAAAAAAAAATCTATAGTTTGACTTTTCCTCCCATAGCTTTTGCTTGATAGCTCGCTTGATAGCTCAGGATGTAGATTTCTTCCAGTGACAGTTTTTCGGAAAGAACTACCCAAGAGGAGATCTTTTATAAAGGTTCTTTTTCAGTTTATTATCCTTAATTAAAGGTTCCTGGATCAACGTAAGGGTAAGCAAGAAATTCCCCCAGTTTATTGCCTTCAGAGTCATAGTGGAGCATTCGGAAGCAAACATCACAAAAGAAGCATGGGTCCACTGGTGCAAAACTGTCATTGTTCGTCACCCACCTGTGGTTGTAAAGAAGATAGACATCAGTATAACTAAGTTTATGTTGCTGTTAGTATGAGCTAGGTTAATGACCTCTAGTACATATGAGCTCTGCTAGCGTAGTGGTAACGAATCAGGCTGCTAACCTCAGGGTCAGCAGTTCGAAACTACCAGTTGTTCCACAGGAGAAAGATGAGCCTGCTCCTGTAAAGGTTTACATACAGTCTCGGAAACCCTGTGCAGAGTCACTATGAGTCGGAACCGACTCCATGGCACATAACAACAGTACATAGATTTAAATTCCCAATTTTTCTTACTCTTACTGTTGTGATTAATTGCTGTCCAGTCTCTTACTGACCTTGTATAGGGTTTGAACTGCCAAACTTGCAGTTAGCAGTCTTACTCAGTAGTACGGTGACACCAGGAGTTGTGAGAGTCAAATTCCACCATAACTAAGATACAAAATGCTACAAGGCCCAAGTACTCTCAAATGGAGTTTAGTGGTGGCTGAAGAACTTAATGTTAAATATTTAAATGGGTAAACTGGTATGTAAATCATGGACCTTAAAGCTATATAAAACAAAACAAGATTTCATGAAATAATATTTGAGGGCACTACACGTGAAGTGGGAGAAAGATGAGGCTTTCTACTCCCGTAAGGATTTACACCCTCGGAAACCCTGTTACAGGTCGCTATGGGTCGGAACCGACTCAACGGCACTTAACACGTGAAGTAATGTATTTTGTTGGGTGAAGGCTGCAGAATAAGTTTCCCTGACAGCACCAGTGTGCTACTTGCTCTAACCACAGCCCTGAAGTCTGAACAGTGGATTTGTGCTACACATAATGTAGTTTGCTTAGTGTTAAAATGAAAGGGGCCCATCATCCCGGTTTTTGTTTGTGTGTGTGAGGAGCCCTGCACTTGTGAACATGATTTTGTAGCACTTCTGGAACTAGATAAAGCCTCTTGTTTACACCCCAAAGTACAAATATCAGATCCTATTTTGGACAAAACTGGAAGTGCTAAAAGTGAAAAAAGTACCTATTAGAAACCAGTATTTCTCTAAGAAAAAGATTTTGATTACCTGGCTGTGTACATTTTACAGACAAAGCATTTTCTTGTCCATAGCCAGTGTTTCTTGATCAGAAGTGGGTAAAGTGTCCTATCCAAGCAGTCGTCATAGTGCACCAACCTTTTTAGACAGGAGAAAGAAATGATGGTATTAAGATGATTTTGTTTGATTTGTAAAGAACTAAATACCTGTACCTCCATGTTAGGAACCACAGTTTATTTTGTAGTATTAAACAGGAATTTTGGTATGCTGTCTTGCTACATCAGGTTTCAACAAATTGTGTTCCACAAAATACATTCAAAATATTGGACTAAACAAGGCTTTCTTTTCTGTGAGGCCTCCCAAATCCCTTTATGGTGATTAAAAGAGGGAGTTGGAGATGTTTCTAATTCAGTCTTGTCCTAAACATTTTACACACTGAAACATCTCCAAAATTCTGGCTTGAAAAATTTTTAAAAAGTTTTTGTTGTTAGCTAGATGCTGTTCTCACTAAAGGGATTTTAAAAATGCAATAAAAGCACTTGCCAAAAAATGTGAAGCTGTTTTGACATATTTTCCATCTATGTTTGTACACTTCTGAAAGCAAGGTTTACATTTCTCCAATCCTTCCCCAAAGAATTCTGCACTCTTTAATTTATACCACATCAAACCAAAAGTTTTGGCATCCTCAAGGGACTCAAATTTTTGTTTCTTTTAGTGTCTAGGTTTGGGTTAAGATCAGGGCTGTAATGAACACAGGTGGGGTGATGGAGAAAATTTACTAAGCACAACATTCCTGACCCTTTTCTCACTTACAGCACTTTGGATAAAATCTACTAGCCTATCCTTTGAAAAAACAGTTGCCATAACTTTGTGAGGTAACCTATGTGCGTGGCAGATCCTGTTGGAAGCTACTAGTTTGTTTTTTTTTTAAGTGCTGGAGAATAATTTTTAAAGCACCATAGATTTCTAGAAGAATAAATCTGTGTTGGAAGAAGTACTGCCAGAATGCTCTTTAGAAACCAAAATGCTGAAACTTTGTCTCTCATACTTCGGACATGCTATCAGGAAGCACCAGCCTCTGGAAAAGGGCATCATGCTGGAAAAGCAGAGGGTCAGCGAAATGCACTGACACAGTGGCAGTAGCAATGAGTTCAAATGCAACACCAATTGTGTAAGAATGACGCAGGACTGGGCAGTGTCATTCTGTTGTGCACAAGGTCACTATGAGTTGGTACCTAACAACAGTAACATAGTTTGTCATGAAACACACAGAATACCTTTGAATAGTCAACAGAATACATGTAAACAGCTTTTTGGTATTCTCTGACATCAGCAATGCCATCTGTTGTTCCACATCATTTTTTGAATCTGAATCTTATAGTTCCTTGTTGATATTCTGCTATAACTGTTTCTGGACTACCTTTACAATTTAAATTTTTTGTATTACTAATAATATTGTTCAATAATTTCTGCATTCTGTTGGACTACGTTTCTTTGGAATGGACACAATTGTGACCAGGTAGGTAGGTATCTTCCAAAGTTTTTTGCTTGGATGAATGAGTTTTTCTGGTACTGCATCCATTTGTTGAAACTAATTGATATTGAAACAATAATTTCTAGAACCTGATGACTTAACTGTAACTTGGATTTGGAAGCTACCGTTTTGATTGGCCTTTATTTTTTAAAAGGTCTGGTGTGGTGCTGCTGTAAGAGATGCACTGGATTGCTAACCAAAATGTGGTTCAAACCCACCAGCTGCTCCATGGAAACCCTATACAGGGTCACTATGGGTCAGGACCAACTTGATGGTACTTATAAAAAATGAAAGTAAGACAAGTGTATTACTGAGTACTTGTCTGCAGCCATCACACAGCTACGTTTAAATAGGTTTTGTTTGCGATAAACCTATGCACGTATGGACTGAAGCCCTAGTAGGAATACTTTCTGACTCCCCCTCATATTTCCTCATACAGTTCTTTCTTTGCCCGATGTTTAGTACCTTCTTATGAAATACAGTTAGAGAAAGTTTCTCAGAACCAGATAGCTTAGATTGACTGGTTATTTGGCACAACATGTTTTTTTTTATTTTACTGTCATCCTTACTAAAATCCAAATCTGTCTCCTGGCCTAGTGTGAATGTGTGGGGATTTCAGTTTCAGGTGTCAGAATCATGAAACCTATAAAGAATGGGAAGGAGAAGTCAGTTTACACTCTATCACTTATCATCTGCATGACCTTCAGATTTCATTTCAAAAATGGAATTGAACAGAATTGTTTGAAGTATCATAATCTGATAATTTGGATTGTAGTAAGAAAAAGGTAGTAAATACTAACTTCATTAAAAAAAACAAAACAAAACACTAAAGCACTAAACGAGTTTGTCATAGGAAAAGCATCGGGTGACTCAATCTGCCTGTAAGATGAAAATGACTTATAGTTTAAATTACTTTTAAAAGTGACTTAGTATATGCTGGCTGCCACGAGGCAGGCTTACAGACTCTGCCCTTTGGTAGTTTAAATGATTATATATTCTGTTCCTGAGTGTTTTTGTGTATATCCCCACCAGACAACAGAGGGAATGGCAGCAAATCTTATTGAATGATGATGCATGGAGGAAATTGTAATCATTGCAATGAAATGATGAGCGTAAAACTGATGTTCCCCCATGTAAGCTATTACTCAATTAAAAATAAAAACATAAAAAATAAGTGATTTAGGAAGTCCCCTACTGAACTCTTACAAAATGTAAACGCATTTTGCTTTAGATTTGGAAGAGGTCACTGTTGGTTTTATTTGCTTTGAGTTGAAGCGTCAAGTCGTTCCCATAAGGCTTGCGTTGACATTGTGTGTATCTGCAATCATTGTAAGGTAGCCGTGACCAGTAGTAGCAGTCTTCCACTTAATGCGGATTCTAAGGCTGTCTCCCTCACTTGACTGGAAGAGCAAGCAGGATAGCCTACATAAAATTTAATACATTGTTTGAAAAAAGAAATGTGCTGCACACAATTTGAAATGCCATGTGAATGTATGAGGTTTGTACCCACTCTCCAGACTTTAGCTCCTCATCATCCCTCTTGGAAATTTCTCTGCTCCAAAAAGTTCATGGGAAAATGAAATGATAAGATAATGAAAATTTCTGAAGCCCACTCATATATAAATTTTCCTATTTCAATGTAGCTACTAACTTATTTCTAAGCAATAAAATGAACTAAATATATTTTAGGTGTTTCTGTAAGAAGTTGCTACTAAGTGCCATCAAGTCGATTCCAACTCCTAACAACCCAGTATTGGTTTTTCGAGTAGTGGTTGCTAGATTTGAAGTGTGCACCTTGTACTTACAAGTCCAGGGTTTATCCGATAGCATAACATAGGTTAGATATTCTATTAGAAAGAATCACAGAATTGGAATTCTAAAAGTTACCTAATTAGTAGGATTAATATCACAATACTCCAGAAATTTCCTGTGGAGGATTGTACTCCTTTTGTATTTTACATCCCATACAAGAGGGGGCTGCTCTAGAAGGGGTGGCTCTAGGGGGTGCTGCTGGGTGCCCCTTGTCACCAGCTCAAAGTCAAAACAGGACAGTGACCTACTAAGATGCAGTATTTCCCAAAGTCACCTCAGGGTAAGACCCACACGTGTATATTTAAATACGGTGACTTTCTAACCTCCCTTTACTGTCAGTCTTACTGACTCGGAATCCCAAGGAGATCGTCTGATTTAGTAAGCACCCAAGGTGATTTTTATCAGAGGCTAACAGGACTGGGGAGATGACTTCAGAGGGTCCCTTCTACCTCATGGAAGGAAAAGTGGGAGCAAGGGCTCGGCTGTGTTTTGGAAGATCCCAAGACTCAAGTGGAAGCAGGAGCGCTTCAAAGGTGTCAGGTCCTCTTCGGGTCACAAGAAAAATGCAAGTGTATCAATCCTCACTAAATACTTGAATCATCTTTCAGAGACAATCATATCAGAAGAGTACAGGTTTATCTTACACATCGATCCTTCTGAGATTTCCTCAAAAAGGAGGAAATGAGTATCTCGAATTGTAGCACTGTAGGATAAGCGCTGGACTGTTAACTGCAAAGTTGTTTCAAATCCACTAGCCACTCCTCAGGAACCTTATATAAAGGTTGCTAAGAGTCAGAACCAACTTGATGGCACAAGACAACAATCATGGGGAATGAGATTTTGGGATCTGTTGATAAATTTTGGAGAGCTGGCATCTCTATTCATTTACAAGGAAGACAGAATAGGATATCAGCTATACAAACTATATTGTTGTTGTCAGGTGCCATCAAGTCGGAACCGACTCATAGCGACCCCATGCACAGCAGAACGAAACAATGTTCGATCCTGGGCCAACCCCACTACCGCTGCCACACTTGAGTCCATCAGTGATGCCACCTGGCCAATCCATCTCATTAGGGGTCTTCCTCTTTTTCTCTGACCCTACACCTTACCCAACATGACATCCTTCTCCAGCGACTGTTTTCCTCTGGACAATATGTCCAAAGTATGAGAGACGAAGCTTAGCCATCCTGGCCTCCAAGGAGCACTCTGGCTGCACTTCTTCCAAAACAGAT